AAAATGTTTATTATATTTAATTCTTAATATGAAAATGTGATATTCAATTTAATTAAATATATATTGGGACTCTGGTTTTAATACGAAATATTTACTCCATTCTTTTTAAATATTAGGTGATATCATGGATCCATTTCTTTAGTTAGGTGATATGCATGTTACTTCTCAACCGTGTCTCTGAGGGATAGTTGAACGACCTGTTAGCATTCGAGCCTTCCTTCTCCTTTCAGAACCTACCCGAAAGAGAATTAAGTGTTTCTTGGTAGTGAATATTTGAATAGGATGAACCGCCCCATGGTTTGCTTCGGAACAAAACAATTAGAATTAGGCTCGCTGAACTGGAATGTGTATTAACCATATAGGGGATCCTTCAATGGAGAAGATCCGTCAACCTTAGGAATGTTGTCGGGTTGGACGAGCCACTAACTCGAACGATCAGATTTATAACAACAATATTAATGCGGTGAAGAACGATCATATTTATAATTCGAATGACCACTCAAAACTAGGTTCTACATTCATTCTTTCGAGTCTGATATAACCATTATAGAAAGTGCTAAATAATGAAGCAAAGAGCCTGTTCATATGTGTCTTGATTCTCGATGTTGTAGTAAATATTATGGAACGTTTACAAAAAAAACGTGTTTACATAGTTATAATGAAGAATTTCAAATTCACGGTATCTTATATACCCACTTAATCTCAATTCATGCCTCGACACTGGACTATGTAGGACCATACCATGGCTCGTTAAGCTTCACCTTAGCTAGGAGTCAATAGGGTTTGAAGACTATATTATTTAAAATTTAATTTGCAACTGGTCTTAATTCTTATAATTTTATCACTAATTTATAAATAAACATTAATTCAAATTTTCTTAAGGAGAATCAAAGAGGAGATTTACATTATTGAATATTAATTTTATATAAATGATGCATAATATATATTATATTTTATTATATTGTGTTAAAATGATATAATAATAATAATAATTTTATCCCAACTTTATCTGTTTTGATAATAACAAATCTTTTATTAATTAATTATTTTGGTGTCGAAAAGATATATTCAATGAGTAGCAATGATGTGTACAAATAAAATTGTGACATGTGGATGCTATTTTTAATTGTTTTTCTAAATGTGTTTATAAAAATAATAATAAAATAAAAAAGTGGATAATGAAAGAAAATTTTATTATATTTTTTTTATTTCCAACAAAAATAGATAAAAAAAATCATTAAAAAAAACAAAAAAACAAAAAAACACCCTTCCCAAATCACTTGATCCGTCTCAAATTCCCACAATTGGAGGACGGTATGAATGAATGATCTCAAATGGTATACGGCTTGGGTAACGGCATGCCCTTCACCACGCCACATAGCAAAGTGCGGTCTGGAATGTTGTACTCATCTCGGAGCGACAGAGCTGGGGAAAGGACACTGACATACAGTTGCTGTCCCAAGTAACGGTTTTCTGTCAGCTCAGACCTCAAGTTCCACATTCCACAATTGTCGAATGTCAGAAGAATCGCCGCCCATGACTTGGGATAAACTTGGATGGTGTGTCGGCTCACCGCATCAAGAAGATTGTAGTTGGCTCGCTTTTCTGGAGACCATTTCCCTGGCTCGATGCTGTAAACCACATTAAACAACACAACAATTCATTACCCATATATGCTATAACTCATTGGGGGAATGAAACAATTGTATTAATAATACTTACGCAACGGCAAAGAAGGAGTAGCCATTCAAATGCCATGCTTGGAGCACCTTCTCATGGTTCTCAAAAATGATCTCAACGAAGTTGCGGTAGGTTGCATTGAGAACATTAGGAGCCACAGTGATGGTGGTCGAACCTTCTGGTAATCCCTCGTCGGTAATCGTGTCGTACTTGAACACCTTCTCAGGGACTTTGAAGTATTCCGCAAGCTTCAATGGAGTTTCGGTTTCGACATGAGAGACGCCGTTGATGGCATATCGTAACTTACCGTCGACCTTACCGGCTGAATTGACGAGCTTGATGGTGCGAGTAATGTTGATTGAACCATAGCGGAAGGAGCCTTGGGGGTTGGGTCTAGCTGCACTGGCAGTGAGGTTCCATCGGAAGGTGCGGAATTGATTGAGGGACCAAGCCCACCCAATGGGTGCCTCTGGAAGTTCAGAAGAAGCAGGACCTTTGCCATTGGTGTAACGAATGATGGCTTTAGTTGAAAGAATGTTCTTCAAGAACCGAGTGGATGCCACCATGTAATAGTCTCTGGGCTCTTGATTGGCAGTGACCAAAACAGAGAAGCATTGCCCCACATGGACGTCGAGGGATTGGTAATCGTTTTGGACCACGTGTGAGCCTTCCATCTCAACAAGCTTCATGGAATGGCTTTGGATTCTAAAATTAAGAGATGCCTTAAGCCCCACGTTGCAAATTCTGTACTTGTAAGTCTTCTCGGGCTTCATGGTGAAGAGTGGCTCATCACTGCCATCGCCCTTTTCGTTCTTGCCATTGATCAGGACGCCGTCGGGTCTAGCCAGGGTGCGGCCGCTGTCCAAGAATTGCTTCAAAGTGGTGTGGCTCTTGGAATACCAATCGCCAATGAGGACGGTGTAGTCGTCTTCAGGGTCGGCATAAGGGACGGGGATGAGTAGACGGCTGTTGATGCGGAGGCCGCCGAAGCCACCGGCGGCTCGGTGCATGGCGGTGGAAGGGTAGTAGAAGAAGCTTCCGATTTGGTCCTTGACTTGGAAATGGTAGGTGAAATTGGTGCCAGCAGGGATGGGGCAGGTGGTCCCGGGGAGGCCGTCTTGCCAGCAATTCTTCCTGTGTTGGATGCCGCTCCAATGAATGAGGAAGGGCTCGTCGAGGTGGTTGAAGACGTTGACGACAACGTTGTTGTTGGTGGTGGAGTTGATGTTAGGGCCGGGGAACTCGCCGTTGATGAGGATGCCTTGCTGGGGGACGCCAAGCGGAGAGATGGTGCCGTAGGTGACCTTCCAATTGAAGAAGAGGTAAGGGTCTTCGGCGTGGACAGCCCATAGGGATGCGGCGCAGACGCAGAGCAGCAGGGTAAATATGGACACGAAACTCATTTTGTAGGCTTCCTTATTTTGCTTTGTTTTTTTTTTGTTTTTGTTTTTGTTTTTGTTTTTGTTTTGTATGTAAGCCAAGTTGGTTCCCTGATGGCTAAGCCTTGCAAGCGTTGGTTTATATAGTGGTTTTTAGTTCATTTCCTAACTATTTTCTGCCCGTTTTTTTCTCTAACGGTCCCCTTTTTTCTTGCTTTGGATGATTTTAGCGCCAAGCGTATGACTCTCCTTAATTATAGGAACTTCTGTTTTTTTTTTTTTTTTTTGAAGAATATAAGTGGATCTTAACCTACCTTGAATGATTATATACGAGGGTTAATTTAATCTGAATATGATTTTGGTTTATACGAATTATATTTAGTTTTTATAATATTTTTAAAATTTTGATTATATTTGTTCGCGAAGAATTATGGGACTTTGGATGGGTAGTTTTTTTTTTTTTTTTTTGTGG